GTCCTATGGAGAAATTGTCCGAAGCATGTGTTCATGTTATTGAAAAAACTACGAATTTTTTGTAACGAATGGAGCTGCTCGATTCAACATGGGTTGTCTTCATTCTCAGCAACTAAGAGCTAGTTTTCTGTTCTAGCATCAAGAACAGAAAACTCAGTTCTTACTCAAAGAAAATTTTTCGTCAACAAGACGATAGGAGAGTATCACGTAGTGCAAATCAACAGATAATTTCTTCAAAAAAATTCACGAGAAAAATGGAACGGAAGCAACGAGCCGCTGAAGTGTTGAAACAGCAGAGGAAAAGAGGACCATCATACAAAGCTGGAGCATTCTAACATGGTAAAATAATTCAACCTTCTAATACTATTTTTGTTTTCAGGAGACTGGAGAGCTCGAGATGTGACAGGACTTGATATAAAAATCTAGAAAAATTTGTGCTTCAAAGAGACTATATGTAAATGAAGATTTGACATATTTCATGATTTACGGGTATATCATGAGGGAGAAAAAAAATCAGATATATACTAAAAAACAATATTCTGAAAAATCCATGCATAGCTATACTTGGGTGTCTAAAAACTATGTGTATACCAAATTTCAGCTCAATCGATTGAAAAATGAGGCACTTGAACCGTTTTGAAGGTTCAAACCGTTTATCATCCGGTTTGACCCCTTCTTCGTGGCGAAAATCTCCGGTAGCGGCTTCAATATTACTTTTTGTCGACCCAAATCCATAGTTTTTTCAGTGACATGAACACATGCTTCGGACAATTTCTCCATATGACGGTGTAGAGACTCGTGTCTCTCTAAATTCTAATTCTCTTAGAATTCTTTAATGCCTAAAGGAGGTTAGGCGGTGTATGAGGTGAATTTGAGAGTGAATTTCTGTGGTTCCCGGTAGCTTAGTCGGTAAGAGTGCCCGGCGCGTATCTGGGAGACCCGGGTTCGATTCCCGGCTGGGTGAAGCGGAAATTTTTTCTCTCTAAATTCTAATTCTCTTAGAATTTTTTTTTTTTTCGTTAGTGTTTTGTGTTCCTCCTCTCGTGCATCTTTGAAGAAGTTCGTCATCAGACAATCGTGTATACAGTGGCTGAATAGCTTTGACAACGTCTAGATTCAACTTGACCGACATCTGCTTGTGATTCCCAGGTGGTTGTTGTCGCGCTCTGTGTTTATTGTAAAAACACCATGAATTCTCACCTTTGGGGTAGTCTTCATGGTTAGGCTTCTCTTCAGATGATTCCCTGGGTGATTCCCAGGTGGTTGTTGTCGCGCTCTGTGTTTATTGTAAAAACACCATGAATTCTCACCTTTGGGTAGTCTTCATGGTTAGGCTTCTCTTCAGTTGATGAGCAATGTTTCAGTGACGCGAAAATACTTTTCCTCATAGCACCAATGTCTGGTCGAGTGGCAACCATTGTATTCCTGTAGAAATTCCCAAGAGCTGTTATAGCGAGTGCCGTCAATGTCCCTCTACCCCCCCCCCCCAAATTAATCCCTCCTTTCTTCGAATCTTCACATAAATTAGCGAGTTCTGTGACTATACGTTTATGAACGTAGTTAATGCACTCCTTCTTGATGATATTAGTCGTTCCATAAGGTTTCAGTTTCTTCTGATGACTAAAAGTCTTAAAGTCACCGTCGGACAACATAACTGTATAGCGAAACTTTGCTTCCTCAACGGATCGAAATCACAGTCTTTTCGCTGCCGTAACCTCCATCGATCTCGAAGAAACCTGATAGTTGGTACTACACTCGCCACATTTTCGGTGATTCTTCTGCCAGAATGGAAACTCAGGAATGTCAGCATCAAGTTCATCCTCAAAAATTGTACAAAGATGACAATATTTCGACAAAATTTCGAAATTCGCTACCAACCCTGTGAGGACATCTATTACGATACCTATCCCGTACAGTGAGGTGTGACCTCCCCGAGTGGAAATTCTGTTCAGGTCTTGATCAGAAACTGATCAAGTCCGATCCGAAATTCTGATCAGGCGTGCTACGCCTCTGCCTTAGGTTTTTCCACTAGGGTTTCTCCGCCTTCCATCATTAGGCATTAATTAAATTTAATTTTTTTTTGAGAAAAAAAATTAGTAACTTCCTAGCCGGGAATCGAACCCGGGACCTCCCAATGTTGCGTCGGGTGCTCTTACCATCTGAGCTACCAGGACACTTACGAATTTCACTCTCAAATTGACTCATACCCGAGTGGAAATTCTGTTCAGGTCTTGATCAGAAACTGATCAAGTCCGATCCGAAATTCTGATCAGGCGTGTTACGCCTCTGCCTTAGGTTTTTCCACTAGGGTCGCTTATCCCATATACCATCGTAGCTAACGTCAATATCTACCACCGAGTCTTCCTTTAATGTCGAATCCAACGTCATGTGAGCTCGTCGTACTGCTGAAGGTGATTCAGAGAGAAGCCTTTGCTTGAGAATTGTATACTTTTTATCCAATTGAGCTATGTGATCTCTGTAAGCAGATTCATGCATCACATTTGTATTCACAATTGCACCACAAGTTTTCATTGCAGAGTTTCTCATACCATGACAAAAAAAAGCGTCTACCATCCTACGATTGATTCCATAAGCAGGTCTTTGAGAAGTGCCTGCAATCCTCGCACTAGTCCACGACTCTTCAAGAGAATTTCCGCAAGTCACACACTCTACCATCAATTTCCTTGCAGCACCTGCCGTGCCTACAGTGTAGAGCAGATAGGGTTTATGTAGATCAGATTGTTGAACGAAGAAAAACTGATCATCAAGATTACTTTCAGTGGAAATTTCCCTCGTCAATTCAAAAGCTTTGAATTTTTTCGCACTGGTCCCCGCCACATCACTGACATTATGCAATTTAGATTCACATTCTCCCATCATTTTCCCAGATGATGGACCTGCATCTTCCATGAAATCATTTGGGTCAGAAAACTCCTCAGAATGACATTCAGATATAGAATTCTCGAATGAAATATCTGTGAATTCATAATTCTTCCGAACAGAAGCACCCGTGATAACGCTGCTTCAAGCACATTCAGCTTCTTTTTTTCCATTATTCTCTGACATTCTCCTGACTGTGATTCTGATTCGTATGTAGCATAGACGTTTCAACTCACTTCAAGTCAACTTCACTGGAAACACTATCATTACTCTGAAAACCTTCTCTGACGTTCTCATCGGAAGTTAGGGTAGAATCCACTCTACTCTTTTTTTGCCGAGTTTTAGCAGCACCTTCAGCTCGATGTTTCTGCCCTCTCTTACGGACTATTACTCCACAATTATTGATCAACTTTTTACTCATTATATGCTTTAAATTTTACAAAATCTGCGAAAACTGAGGGAAAGATATACACAGCCATTGATTTTGAATGATTCCTCGATGAAATAGCTCAATAGAACAAATACCGAAAAATGGCGTCAGTGAGGAGAATTAGCGCGCAAAATTTGAATTTATTCACCGGTATTTCTACAGAAATTTCATTGAAACGGAGACCAGCGAATATAATATCGATGAAATGTGTGGCTAAGCAGACCGTATCAAAAGAATCAGTCCAAAACATAGTTCTGTGATTCGAAAACTTCGTAAATTATGTTAAAATTGGAATAAAAAAGAGACTATATTTATATGAATATTTGACATATTTCATAATTTTTGGGTATATCACGAAAGAAAAAAAAATTCAGATATATACTAAAAATCAAGAGTTTGAAAAATCCATGCATAGCTATATTTGGGTATACAGGGTGTCCCATCTGAAAAGATGCGGCTAAATATCTCAAGGGGGGCGGGTAACAGAAAAATGTTTGATACAAAAATTGTAGGGTTTCGAGGGGACATCCGATGTAGTCATTATTTTGAGCTTTCAGACTCCCGCTTGCAAGCTGTAAGCACAAAGTGCTTTTTTTCAAATGGCAACCGCATTTTTTATTCCAATGAAACTTGTTCATCTTCATTAGTTGTTTTCAGAAATCTTATCATTCATTTAATTTCATCTCATTTTACTCGAGAAATGTCATAAAAAGAGTTTTGCGGCCAAATTGAAGATTCAGACTTTTTTAGCGTGACCCAGGATGCACCACGGGGAACGTGTACCGTTCTCGATATGTTCGAGTAGCGGCTCGATACACTCCCCTAAACTCTCCCAAAACAAGTAAAATATCGACAATTTCACTGGCTGAATTCATCGGGATGTGTTCAATGAAATAACAAGTGATACTAACTTGATTCAGGTTGAATTGGCACCGATTAGAATTAAAGAATCCTCGAAGGAGTAGGGAAATGTTTTGTTTATTGTTTACATTTGATAATTCCGGTGTGTAAACAGATCAATGGAACAATTACACCAAGATGCGCCAAGGATGTTTGAATCTTGAATTCGACCACAGAACTCATTTTTGTGGCATTTTTCGAGTAAAATGAGATGAAATTAAATGAATGACGAAGTTTCTGAAAACACCTCATCAAGATGAACAAGTTTCATTGGGGTAAAAAATGCGGTTGCCATTTGAAAAAAAGCACTTTGTGCTTGCAGCTTGCAAGTGTGACCTTGAAAGCTCAAAATAATGACATCGAATGTCCCTCTCGAAACCCTAGAATTTTGGTATCAAAAAATTTTTTGTTACCCGCCCCCCTTGAGAGATATTTAGCCACATCTTTTCAGATGGGTCACCCTGTATTAAAACGATGTGCATTCAAAATTTAAGCTCAATCGATTGAAAAATGAGGCACTTGAACCATTTTGAAGGTTCCAACAATTTTTCATTCGTTTTGACCCCTTTCACGTCGCGAAAATCCCCGGTGGCGGCATCAATATTACTTTTTGACGACCCCTAATAAGTACCAAAAGCACCAAGTTTATTCCTATGAAAATCCAGGGACTTTCAAATTTCACCGCGATCTTTCCTTAAGAGACTCTTCTGATGAATGGAAAACACTTGGACAAACGTTCGGAGAATAATATATTCGGCCCTCAACTCAAAATGTTTTTAATATTTTTCAGGAATTATACGAGGATGTCAGGAATTCAAAGTCATTACGAAGGTGGTGGAACAAGAACTGTCAGTATGTTTTCAAAATTAATGAACCAAGGTTCTTCATTCGTTATGGAGGGAGTGAAAAATCTTGTAGTGAAACGACACGTGAGTTGATCAATTTATTTCTCTTTTGAATTAAAGTAGTATGAATAAAACCCAGTTGAATCGTTGAATGGAACGAGAAAAAAATTCAAAAACCCTAAAGACTGATTTATCATTGATCATTTTTGCTTCCGAATGGAAGCATTGTAATCGTGCTGTTTTCACATTCTCTAATTTTGGTTGGAAATGATGTAGAATGGTCTGAAACGTAAAAATACGAAGTTTGGCGACCACGTCTGTTGGTGTCAATGTCCATCGCCATCTTTCCGGTAGTCAATTTTTGGAAAATTGAGTAATTAATTGGCTAAACTTATTCCAAAAAATCTGAAATTTTATCAGATTACAGACCTTAACAAGGACTAACTCTGTGCAAACGTTCAGCCCGATTGATCGAATAGTTTTTGAAAAAAAGCTATTCGTTTGTAAATCGGTTTTCGCTAATATCTTCGAAGCTAGTCAACCGATTTCAATTTTTTTTTTCTCAAAATATTTGTTTCGATGGCTTCTATCCGAATCAGTCAACACATATATACCCGTTCATACAAAGTTTTCGAGATATTTTCGTTTTTCTGTTTTTTCATCAAGAGGCAGTTATTTCCATTCACATTGTTGATATCTAATCTGAGCGGGTTTGGTATTTCCATTTTTTTTCTTTCTTTAATAAAATTATTACAGATCTATTCGGAAGCTTACTACCAATGGAATTGGTAGAAATGAAAGAATGAAAAAGAGTTATAACACATAAAGTATAACACGGTCAGATGGCTTCGGCCAAAAAGGCCCGAACCCCTGCTTGTTTTCGTATGAATGAGATGAGTGTAATAAATTCATCCATTAAGTTCTTTCTTCAATTTTTTTTTTCAACAATAGTTTCTCGTTTGACTAGTATTTCGACGTAACACGCCATTTCAGGGATGAAGAAACGGAATTTACTACCATAGTTTGACACTGACGACAATTTTCATATCGGGCATAGAATTTTTATTCTTTTTTTCATGATTTTTCGAGACTATTTCTGGATTTTAATCTTCTTCCTGAACTCGAACAGTTCATTTTTTCATAAAACTCTGTGTTGTTGTTGCACCTCTAGAGTCATTAGTATCAGCAATACTAAACTGCCGATTGAACACAAAATTTGTCAGGTATTTTCCTCCAGCTTGTTTGCATAGAAAATAAGAAGGTAACCGTAAGTATGCAACTAGATTTTCTATTTACAAAGAGAGGCCGGCTGATGTCCGACACCGACAACATCCAGTCTTCATGTATTTGAAGGGTGGTTGTCACTAGTGGTGTCCCTTACCAAAGACATAGAGACAGATGTCCAAAAATAAGGGAGAAATTTTGCTCAGAAGATTTGCGCATAACATGTATTAGGTGTGTGACTTTTAGATTAGATTAGATTAAGAGGCAATGGAACCTCCGAATTACCGACGGAGCTTTGCTCGATTTGGATTCCAAGTTTTTTTATAGTAAACGGCAATCAATCAAAATGAAAATTTGCATAGAGTTATTTAACGAGATGAAGAACAAGCTAAGAATTTCCTTTTTCAATAAATAAATTGAAAAAATTACAGGATTTTTACCACAGATTTCTGCAAATGCATTTCGATCCATATTTTGTCATTTTTCCATAAAATCAATAAGAGCGAATTCTCACGGCGTAGTCGTGATGAAATGACAACTCGTAAAATCAAACACGGCTGTAATTGCTTCGGATATCACAATAAAAAGTTGGAATCCCCAAGAAGTCGATAACACCACCAACTTTGATGAGGTTGGGGCAACAAAACTGGAGTTCACAGTTAGCTCAGAGATGGCAACACTGTTCCTTATCAGCCGCTATTACGTGGAGCTGCCCGCGAGTCTGTGTCAACAAAAACCATTCCCTCGTATTTTTCATAACTTTATTCGATAATTAATCAAAAAATGGCTGTTCACCATTAGATTTAATAATATCGGGGGATTGAACGTATGGAATATGTTGGAAATCCTGTCAGCTGACAGGTCCCTCACACTAACGCACGCAAGGCTCATCCATTCTCTCCCCACTCACGCACACCTGACGCGCTCACCTCAGATGACTGGGGGTTATTAATTCCAGCACCTGAGGCGCCACTTCCTGGACCGCTCTAAATTACCATATGATCTATATTAAATTAGGTCATGTGACCATGGAATTAGGGCACGTGGCACCTGTAAGCCCGTGTCTCTCTCTCATTCGTTTCCGGGATCCAGTTAGAGACACTTCTTTTATTGTACTGCTCTTCTCTAGTGACTCGGACTAACTCATTGTGTCAGCTCAATTATTATCAATTCAAGGAATTAGTCGGCTCATTATTATCGGTCCGCTCATTATTACGGTTGCTCAGTGACTCAATCTCTAGTGACTTATTTATTGTGAACATTTTCTTTGACAAATACAGTGAATTTGTGACCACGTGCACGTCTTCCGCTCATTTCTTGGTTCTACTCATCCCACTCCCCGTAATCCGACTCCAACTCATCCATCCGCACAATTAATTCCCCGATCCAGGCATCTCATTGAACAGAATAACTCAAGGATGCAGTGCTAGTGCAAAATGGTGGTTCATTCGAATAATAATCATTGTTACTCCAATTGATAAATTTTTTTTTTTCATACAGTGGGAAAAATTTTTCGTAAGTATTTCTATATAAAAACATATCTAAACTTTACTCTCCATATTTATTTCCATTTTTGGTAAGTGGCGCATGACAGTGATATAAGAAGATGAGAAAAGAAGGTTTTGAGGTTAGAAGAGAGGTATTTGATTCAGTCCAACAGTCGAGCCATTTTGGGATCTATTTCGACCCTTTTGTTCTAGCTAGCTGATAAAACCATTTTTCAACAGGTGGAAATTGCTAAACGGAAGCCTCCAGCTGCTGTGAAGGCTTCGAGCTGTCTAAATCCCAGTTCACAGATCTGACTCAACAGCTTGAAGAGGAATCTCGCACTGTCTTCCAAACTACGATTCATTGAGAGCCATTGAGAGCCTTCATGATCAACTTCGAGAGCAAGAGGAAAATAAATTCAAGCTATTCAACTCGCAGTAGCCAAGAAACGAGGGAATGCAGAAGCTGAGGCTGCTCCAGTTCTTAAGGAAGTAGAAAGTGTTGCATGAAGGACATTCAGGGCCTGAAACGTCGAATTGAGAAGCTTCAAGCTAGGAATGATAAGCTTGATAAATCCAAAAGGAAAATCCAGGCTGAGTTTGAGGACAGCACGATTGAGCTTGAGGTACAGTGGAGAAAAGTAATCGAGCACGAGACGTAGCAGGAGAACTTCGATAAAGTTTTTGCTGAGGAAAGAGCTGTGTCTGAGCAGTAGACTGAGCAGAGAGACGCTGCTGAACGAGAGGCTCGAAAGAAGGAGACTTTTGTGCTCTTGAGTGGATGGAGTCGGATTTTCACTGCAACTTCACCAGGAATATTATTGCCTCCACCCCCACTCCCTCATCCTGATGTGAGGATATTGATAGATGTCCAAAAGTTAATCGATCAGAGGCCTGCAGAGAACTTCAACCTTCGACAGATGAAAAAATTCAGTCTTCAATAACTTGCCAACAGCGGACAACAGTGGTTCACTGTTGGTGTACGCCAGCTCCATAACCTTCTGACTCAAATTACCTACAGCAATGATGAAGAGCAGCATCATACAGGTATACCCAAAAAAGAAAACCCTCATTTAAGACTTTGAAGATCTTAAATTGACACTTTAGAAAGTCTTAACTTGAGACTTTCAGGAGAAGAAGGAGACTTTCAAAAAGTCGATGTTGCAGCTGTGATACTTTGTTAAATATCTTCGAATCTACAGAACCTTTTTTGTAGAGAATAATGGGATCTATAAAAAAAGGTTCAGAAATCAATAGTCATTTGTCACTTAGATTCAAAGATATCCCCATGAAACTCGAGCTATAATTGACTCACTTCTCACCATTCACGAATGTTTTTATTTTGTTCTTATAGTTAAGGCTCAAATGTTCATGAGGGTAAATGAGCCCTTCTAATTACTCCAACTTTAACCCATTCGACCCTAAGATAACTTGAGATTGACTAAAGATCATTAAACCCTCAATGAAAAACTAGATGAAATTTTCGTGAATTGTGTTAAACAATCGTTCTTCCAGTTGTGACATTTTCCTAAATATCTCATGATGTAATGGACAAACGACATTTCTTGTCAGGACCTTTGTAGAAGAGCATAGTGAGATCTCAAAAGATTCAGATATAAATAGTCGTATGTCCCTAAGATCCCAAGATATTCACAAAAGGCTCGAGCTATGATTGACTCACCTTCACGATTCAGAAATGTTTTTTTTTTGCCTTAATTGAGGATCAAATGGTCATGAGGGTCAGATGAGCTTTTCTAATTACTTGACTTGAACTCATTCGACCCTCATTTTAAAACATCTCTAAAGGTCATTTGACTCTCAACTAATACAAAATGAAATTTTCTTGAATTGTGCTAGACAATAGTTCTTCCTGTGGCCACATTTTGCTAAATATCTCAGAATCTAACAGACACACAACTTTTTTTGTCTCAACCTTTTTTGTCAAGCATAATAGGATCTACGAAAAAGGTTGAGGCATAAATAGTCGTATGTCCCTTAAATCCAAAGATATTCACAAAAGACTCGAGCTATAATTGACTGATCACCTCTCACCATTCAGAAATGTTATTTTTTGTTCTTAATTGAGGGTCAACTGGTCATGAGGGCGGAATGAGCCTTGCTCATTACTCCAACTTTACCCCATTCGACCCTTAAGACCACTTGACTTTCAATTCCAAACGTTTGTAAAGGTCATTTGACCCTTAACTGAAAACTAAAGGAAATTTTCTCGAATTGTGCTAAACAATCGTTCTTCTAGCTGTGACATTTTGCTAAATATCTCAGAATCTAATGGACATTCGACTTCTCTTATTGGAACCTTTTTTGTAGAGCATAATGAGATCTACAAAAAAGATTTGTTTGGTGAATGACTAG